TCTATAAACAAACAGAAGAAACTGCTTACAATTGAGCAAAATAATACAAAACATGCATCTTAGATCTCTGCATCAGTATGTTTAAGAGCAGGTCATAAAAACAGAGAAATCACACACAGATCCATCAAGCCAGTTGAATTATATAATATCCTTAACTCAAGACAAAGTTGATAGACAAGCAAAAATGATACCATGTTGTACTGAGGCAGATCGTGTTACAGAGTTAAATGTCAGTGTGGTGCACTTTTCAAAGAGACAAGTGAACTTTCAGTCTTAAATAAAGTGTTCTCAGACTTCAGCTGATTTGAGGATAAACGTTTGCGCAAATTTATTTGTAGCAGATCTTACTTTTTCATCCTAAAGACACACAGCTATTTCCCAGATATGAAAAGGACCAGGTTTGCACGGACTAGAAGGCTTCCCTTTTAACTTTGAGGAATTTTAAAATGAGAGCAAATGCAAAATAAAAAGAAATGGAAATGCACAATATAATGCCTTTCAAGACGTGCAGTATAAAAAGGCCTTATTCGGGAGACAGTGTTTTGATTCTAGATGTCAAGGAGAGAGATTGCAGGTTGCCTCCTCAGTGTGGATGTAGTATTCGTGAAAAAGTTCCCATAACGAAATACAAAGCAGGCAGCTAAAGTTCACATGAGCCGTAAATTTTCAAAGTGGCTCAGGCTGGTCTCGTTGAGCACACAACCCCAGTCTCATCAAATTCCAACTGAGGCCAAAACAGCGATGATTATTTATTGGCTTGAGATGAGAAACGGTATATAATGAGATTCAGTGAGGACCTCAGGGTCCCAAGGAGGCTGACACTGAGTGATTTATGGATTCAGTGAATGTCTTATGAATATGAATGCATGGATGATGTGTGTACTAAAATTCACTGGATTATTTACAATTTATTTATTAATTCACTTTGATTACTTACAGTACAATCATTTCATTATATATGTTAATAAAAAGAATTACTGAGGTAAAATAAAAAAAGAATTACTGAGGTAAAATAATGGCCTTTAAAATGAAGGTTTGGTTACTTATGTAGACATAAGTACTTATGTGTCACTGTGTTTGCTACCATCAATTCTTTTGGAAAATTTCTATCGGTAAATATCAGTTAATTTTTTATTGACTTTAGTAACAGCAACACTCTTATATAATACAAGTGAAATTTTATGAGCTTCTAAGACAACAGCACTAGCGACAACAATAATTAGAGATAAATGATTAATACAGCTTATTTTTTTATTCTGGAAAGGTAATTTCTAATCCTTGGCCTTTGTCTTTTCCATAGTCCTTGAGCAAAGTCAACTATCTGTCGCAAAGCCTTTATTCAAGAAACAGCTAAATAAAATTCTTAGATCAATGTGCTGCTAACACCCAAATAAGCAACACAAGCTGAAAAACCTCCCACGATTTGTAACCTTTCTTACATTCTTAATTATAATTATAATAAATATTAAATAATTAATTATTTATTATAACATAAACACACCATTGAAAAAAACAATGACTAGGCACTAGGCTGAACACAATAACCTTGGTAACGAAGGAAAGCAGATATCGTATGTACTGTAATTGAATTTGAAAGTGATTTGAGAATTTAGTTAAGTTTGCAATACTGCAACACACTTCTTTGCCCAGGAGCATAAAGTAGATCTGAGAGAATATCAAAGTTCTGATTGAATATTTCTATCATTTTCATTGTTTACATAGGAGTTTTTGATAAGGAGAGAAGCCTGTCTCAGCTTAAAAAAAAAAAAAGTTAAAGAAAGCATTTAAGAGACTAGCCTCCAATCCACTTACAGGATAAGGAATTGTATAGGGCTAATAAAGAAACATTATTATTATTATTATTATTATTATTATTATTATTAAGGAAGAAGAAACAAGTAAAGGTTAATTCCATCCTGAAAACAGAAGAAAAGAAACACGTTTCAGCTGTGGAGCTTTCTTCAGCTCCATACATCTTAGTTCTTCTCTTTTAAGCATGGAATAAACCTATTCCTAGTTCCTTTACTGCCTACACTTGCTGACGCAGCTACCTACTACAACTAATAAGCAAGAATATGAGTGGAACCAGCATAAATTACATACAGTCCAATGGATGTATAAAAGTGTTCTTCATGTTTTTGTTTATCATGAGGACATCATTGGCGTTTTCCAATTTGCACTGTTGGTAGATCATAAAAACAAGTTCAGTAGTTTGGAATGCAAGTGATATTCTGAACCAACACTTTTTCAAATCCTTCAGTTTTGCACTGCTTCTCATTTTGTCAAGTAGGGATGCCTTCTAAAGGTCAGGTAGGACAATCACAGTTCATTTCCTTTCACAATGTTAAATGTACGCTCCACAGGAAGCATGTCGTAAGTTTTAAGATTTCCCATTAATGTTGTTCATGTTAAGATGTCATGTTCTCACTTGACTCAAAACTAAGCACACTCCAAAAAACAATTATGTTGTCATTGTTGTTGTTCTTTAGGAAATTACAGGCATACATGGAAGCTTCACAAAGAAACACCACAGCTCTTAAAGTCAGTGGGAAAATGACTGAGGCGTTGACAATGGATTTGGACAATGAGCTCCACAGTCATGCAGAGCTGCATAGAAGGAGGACATTATCACCCACCATGAAGTCCTGAACTAGCTGATCTCAGTTTAAAGTGTTGGGCTGTATTCCTGCAGCAAGTCCTTGAGGTAAGATCAAGCTAGTCTGTTATCCTACAGTCTATGCAAAGAGGAGAACCTTAAAATCCATTCTAAATTTCAAAGGGAGCCAATGGAATTTCTGAATAGAAGTGATATAAAGATGTAGTATAAGAGTAATTTTAGTTAAGACACACGCCTCTGAATTCTGAATATGCCAAAGCCTATTATTGCATATTAGAAGATACCCATGGTAAGAAAAGCAGTACAGCAGGTTGAAATTAAGGAACAAGTAAAGGTTTATTCCATGCTGAAAACAGAAGAAAAGAAACACAACGTTTCGGCTGTGTAGCCCTCTTCAGGTGTCAAGCGAAGTGACTCCACAGCCGAAACATTGTGTTTCTCTTCTTCTGTTTCTAGCATGGAATAAGCATGGAACTTTACTTGTTCCTTTGCAGCCTACGCATGCTGACGCAGCTCCCTGCCTGGTGGAAGGTTACATTAAACATCGAAAAGCAAGACTTTGCATTAAGTGACAGTTAAGGCATGTATTTTTCAGCATCAGATAGACAGAACAAGGACCTTCCCTGGACAACACTATGATATAGTGTTGACACTATGATATAGAAAAATTATATCACTGCAACTTTACTAGCATGAGCTTCAAATGACAATAAAGGGTCAAAAATAATAACTTCAGTCAAGGTTTTAATTTCAAGACTGTCAACAACACTAAAAATTACAGACTTGTGTAGTTGCTGCTGGGAGTTGATTCTATGAATAGCCTTGATCTTAGCTTAGCGTAAAAAAGTTTCTTCTATCTGTCTTAATATCAGGAAGGCACTGCAAAAAGCAGAAACTGCAGCAGTAATACATGATTTATAGACCACAATAGGAACATATGTACTGTAGCAGTTAATAATATTGTACAGCAGCAGTTGACTATGTGGGCACAGATGGAAGGTAAACAAAACTCCCAGTGGGGGACAATAAACATCTGCTTGTCCCAGGTCCAAAGGTTGCCCCCCACCGGGCAATGAGTTAGTTCTAATATATTTATAGTTTGATCATAATAGATCATAAAGAATCTCTGCAAATGTAAGGGTACAGATTCTGCTGTCCTGGCTCTGTCGTCAGGGTTATCCAAGTAAAGTAGCTGAGGTTTCTTGAGTCTGTTATCTTAAATGTAGCATTCCAGGTTTTGATGTCACGGAATATGCTTGGTTTTGGATGCAGTGGTCCAAAAAATGAGAGAATATAAAACTCTTGAGTGTCATCAGCACAATAGTGAAGCCCAATGTCATGAACAATGTAGAACAAGCTGAGGAAGAGGTAACGTATATACTACAGAGTAAAGTTCCCTACACAGGACCCTGTGGAACACCCTGAGCAAATGGGATTTCACCCAATTTAAGACAGTCAATAAACCCCAATTGATTCCTATTAGCAAGGTAATAAATCAACAAAATCAACAAAGGGAAGTACTAGTAATTCTAAATAGTTTTCATAGTATCAAAATTTGTACTTGAAACCAGCATGAGAATTAAGTGAACCAGAGTCAGAAATCATCAGCAAGTCACTGACTGATAAAGGCTGTTTTAGTGTTGTCTAAATCCCACCAGGAAAGATTTACACCTTGTTAGATGTAAATTTGCACTTGAACTGTACACCCACTACAGAATTGATGGAAGAAACTCAATATTGGAAATAGGATGGCAGTTATTAAGCACTTTATAATCTATCACAGATGCCACAGTGGCAGACCAGATTTGAAGGACTCATTTATGAGGCTAGAAACAAGTAGACGAAGAGCAAAGAAGCTAGATTTAAGTAGGGATGTTGACATTGCGTCATGGCTAGTAGGTCTCATTTTGGCTACACAGCAAAAAACACTTTTTTTAATACACATCATTAGGATGGCTAGAGTCCTAAGATAGATTTTTTAACATTCTTGTAAGAGACACATCTTATTGCTTAGCTATCAAGAAGAGCAGTAAGTAACTTGAGATTTACATCAACTTCTTCAACATGACAATCAGCCTTTCTCTGAATGAGGTATTCTAATAATTAACAACACATTACACAGAACCAGTAAGCCTTCTGATTAACAGAGACAAGGACACACTGACCAGATACAGCTAAAGAGCACATACATGGTTTTTTAAAAAATAAAGATTACCATTTTATTACAAAGAAACCAATTGAAATTGGTGGGGACCTTCATAATGTGACTTACAGCACTACCTAAAATGCACTTGAGTGAGGTGAAATGATCTTTTTTTCCCATTCAGCAAGACTTAATAAAATGGCACTACGAGAAAGCAACAAAGAGAAAATCGTCACTTACCGTAGGATTTCTTTACGTGTGAAGAAGGTACAATCCTATAAGACAAAAAATATCACAAGTTAATCTTCAAGTCCCAAGAAGAAGTCCCAAGAGAAGGGGTCAAAATCAATCCTGTTTTTCACACGTAATACATTGGTGTGTTAAGAAAACACCAGCAAAAGGTGTCTGTTAAGCCATCATCTGAAACTTATTCATACACAAAGGTTAAAAACATGTCACTGATAATTTAGCCATATGGTAATTTTCATATTCTCTTTCAGCCTGTTTTAAGCAGTGCCATTTGTTTAAATGTTAACTAAAGAATAGCAGTTGCTCTCTGGTGCTGTAATACAGGACAGAGTTAACCTTCTTTACACAAATGATTCACAAGCCCTCAGGAAGTTAAGGCAGTAATTACGTGTTAATCTGACCACTTAGCTGGTGACCACTGATTGAGTGTTAACGATTCAGACAGCATTGTTGTATAGAAAACATCGATGCCTTTTCTCTGAATCTGTTTCTTAAACTAATTTAGCACAAAGGGCGCTGGGTCGATGCCTCTCAGATGCATGTGGGCCTCTGAGCAGGTTTCACCTTAACAGCCAGCTGCTAAAGGAAATATAAGACACTGCACTGTGGCTTTGGGATGTAGATTTCTCTGGGCTAAAGGTGGAAAATTCCGGTGTCCGTGGCTGTCACTCGTCACAGGGAAGGTGAGGCCAGGAAACTCTACCTGGCCAAGCAGACCTGGCAGTTTCCTCAATTTGAGGGGAAGGGCAGGCAGCCATGAGTGGGGATTCCAGCTCACAGGAGCACCTTGGCCAAGAAAAGTCTTGATTCCACTCACACTGTAATACAGCTGCTGCTGAGAGAAAGCACGATCAGAAAAAACAGTGCCTAGATTTGCTTTATTCCCCCTTTTTTAAAAAGAATCCAATTCCTCTGAAGGTTATGTTTATCTTAATCACAGGTTTGTTTCAATTCCACCTGGGAAATGCGTTGGAGAACAGTGAGGAGATTTGTTTGGTGACTTGATATATTTATAATAATACACTTACACTTATATAGCGCTTTTCTGGACACTCCACTCAAAGCTCTTTACAGGTAATGGGGATCCCCTCCACCACCACCAATGTGCAGCCCCACCTGGATGATGCAACGGCAGTCATAGTGCGCCAGAATGCTCACCACACATCAGCTATCAGTGGGGAGGAGAGCAGAGTAATGAAGCCAATTCATAGATGGGGATTATTAGGAGGCTCTTTTCGAGAAGCACCCTGGGATTTTTAATGACCACAGAGAGTCAGGACCTTGGTTTTACATCTCATCCAAAGGACGGCACCGGTTTATAGTATAGTGTCCCCGTCACTATACTGGGGCATTAGGACCCACATGGACCGCAGGGTGAGCGCCCCCTGCTGGCACCACTAACACCTCTTCCAGCAGCAACCTTAGTTTTTCCCAGGAGGTCTCCCATCCAGGTACTGACCAGACCCACACCTGCTGAGCTTCAGTGGGCTCACTGAGCTTCACCTGTTTTTTTATTTGCTTAAGAGTGACATGAAAACTGTGTCTTAAAATGGTTACTTTACCATTTACGAAATTCTCATTCCCACAAAAAAAGGCTAGACAATTTTAACCACACAACTAAAAGATCAATCACTGACCAGCCTGATACAGGACATGTAAATACACAAGATGTTTATGAACAAGGCATCTCAAAGCACATGATAGAATAATGGGAGAACCTTCAGAATTTTTCATTGCTTAAATGGGCTTATTAAGACTATCAGAAGTAACCAAAGAGGCTCCAGGGACATTATCTTTTCAGGGTTAGGTTTCAAAGTAAGCTATCTAACCATCCTGCTTGGCATAAATTATTAAGTTTCACTGAATCACCCAGAAAAGCTGTGCAGAAGATAGCCCTCCTTCAGTCCGTTAAGAGCTGCAGGTTACTGTTACAAAGAACAAAAGCCAGGTTTCTTGTAGACAGACCTATGAAGAGGTCAGAAAGGCTAGAGCAATAACATACGACAAACCAGCCTCAACTGTCAGACAGTTAAGTCAAACATAACAATAATCACTATATATATAAGGTTGTCATATGTGAAGTCTACCTAACGTGTTAATATTTAGGTAACAGAGCTCTATTTAAACTATAGAATCAAAATACCAAAACATGTTGCTTTTGGCTAAGTTGAATACTAAAATATGATGCAAACATGGATATTAAAATATCTTTCAGCAAATTCTTGGTTCAAATATTTATTCTTTGAGCAGATTAACGGAACATATTCAAACAGAAGAATAGAGCGTATTCATGTACTGTATATTAATATATATTGCTTGCGTGTGGCCAGCAGAACCTTTCATTTTTATTTAAAAAATATTTATAAAACAAAGAATCATTCCTATTCATAAAAACAAAACCATTATCAATCAGGAACACATTGCAAGGCATATGAGTGCAATGCAATAAGAATGCTATTGCTAGTCCCAAAGCTCTCAGTGCAAAGTATCATCAAGGCATGACATTGGTCAATCCATGGGACAGAAATGAAACAGTTTTGCTTAAGAAATGAAAAGAAAGCAAAGTACTACATAGCGTTCCCACAATTTCTCCACAAGGGACTGAGAAACAGTGGTCTGTGTAAGCTACAAACACAATTTAAAGATTGCATTTTAAGCAGAAAACTTCAATTTATTCTTGTTCATTGAAATAAAAACACTGGTTCTTTGTGTAATGCTTAAATACTGAGCATATTTCCAAAATGCTGAAAAATCATATGAATATTTTTTTCTTCAAAATTAATTGAATTTGAATGGAATGTGGGTAAACTGTATGTGAGTAAACATGTTTTAACATGTAAAACTAGTGTTGAACTAGTCTCTGGTGTACAAACAGCACAACATGATATATACTGTGTACTGTACATACAGTATAAAAATGGCATTGTTAATTTAATAGACTTAATTAACATCACACCTTTATCAACAGAACACAATCTGCCACATACAAAATGAAATCATTTGGTAGCAATTATTTGTACACTTGTGTTTGAATGATGCAAGTGCAAAACTTTAAGATTGAACACATAATTAAACCAGAATACTGTTGTATCATTGCATCAGGGAACAATAAATCATATTGAGGTAAAATATGTTTTTCTTTTTGAAGAGGCAAACTTTTAATATTCCAGATAACAGAAAATGTTGAGATCTGTACTAACATAAGATCAGCCGCATGAGAGACACAAATGGACAGGAATGCTTGATCCAGTTCCAGTCTATCAGAGGACCTACCTGTAGGTATCGCACATCTTCATCAGTATATTTCCCCTTAAACAATGTCAGGAATCATGAGAGAGTTGAGACTGTGTACTGAAGCTGTATTGGTCCAAACAGTAATGATTTCAAAACATACAGTACTAAATAGTGACTCATGAGCACACACTGAGACCTGCAGAACACAAACGTAGTGGTTGTTTCTCTGTGTTTACTTCTTAAACGTCGTTTGAGATTAATTTCAAATCTTCATAATTGTGACTAAAGGGGGAAGTGACCCCTTAATTCTGCTTTTACAAGTGGGACATTTGTTTTTAATTATTCTAATTTAAGAGGATTTAAATGTAAATAATACTAAAAATGTAATTACTGACTAAAAATCCAACTCAACTGTCTGGAGTGAAAAATGGTATAAATAAAATCCATTATGTTTAGGTACTAGTAGGCAAAATTGTGCAGAATTCTAGTTTTGCATTTAAATTTAATCTGAAATCATACTGTACATCACACAACAAATAAATGTTTCATATCTATATTCCTTCTTTTAATGGACGGTATTCCTTCACACTTTACAGAACTGATGTCAGTGGTTTTTATTAGGTGCTCAAAGAGAGTTCTTTACAAATACTAAATCATCTTTCTGCAAGGAATAATTTCGATTATTCGGAAGCTCTTAATAAAAAAAAATATGAGCTAATAAAATAACAACCAAAAGGCAAATTGAAATTGTTTTTGTGTTCAGTTTCTAATAATTGTACAATTTTCTTAATCTTCCATCAAATTTGTATTGCTTTTGTCCATACATTTACACCATTATACAGTATGTATTATGTAAAAAGAACAATCGATTATATGAGCAATCTGTTTCGTGGATAAATACTGTAGGTAACAGCCAGATAACTAACTAAATTATTCCTAAAATTCATCTTTGAATCTGCCCACTATTCAGTTCTTCAAGGTTCTGCTGCGCTGGTTTTCTTCTAAATTACATTGTACCCTCAGATACCCCAATAAATACGGATGTCAGTTGGACCCTAGCCTACCTTAAAGAGTACGAATGTGTTCATATTATTGAAAATACCAGTGATTACAACACTTCAAACTACAACCGTTTAAATGACAGTTTTTAAACATAAAGCTTCGAAAACATTCAATTTGACGTTAGTATTATACGTTTCCTGAATATATAAGTTCGCCATACTATACTATACTGTAAAAGGAATACATTGGGTTGTGAACGCTTTTATGTGGCTTATCTCGCTTATATTGACTTAACCGCAGTCCACAGTAAAAACGGATTCAAAGTGTGCTGTACAAACCACGAGAGATGAATGCTACTGCCCCTATGACAACACTTATCGTCAATTTAATGTATCTGTACAAACTGATAAACCCGTCTTTGCGTGGTTTCCCCTAAGGTTTGTGGTGAGCATTAGGGTAAACTTGCAATCAAATACTGAAGTTCAAGACACAAGGAAAAAAATAATTAAGTTGTACAAATATATAGGACAGATCAAACCAAAGCGGGAACAACAACAACAACAACAAAAAGATTTTGTAAAGCCAGATAACTCCAACTTCATCAAGCTCTTACCTGATAAGCGTCAAGCTGTTCATCAGTAAATATCGTTTGCTTATTACCCATCTTAGCCGAGTAATTTTCCTTTTAAACAGATGCATCACATTGGAGGTTGGAGGCGTCCTTCCTATTCTAGGCATTTAGGGCATATATATACGGCGTGGTCGGTCGGACTGGAGACAGTTACAAGCCCGCATTGAATTTCCACTACCTGGTGGACCAGAATGCGGGATGTGTCAAAACGACAAAATATAATTCACAGTTTTGCTTTTACTGTAACAGTAAAAGTCCGTTAAGTCCATCCCCGAAGATGAAACGTGCTGAGATATAGTTGTTGTCATCCGTAGCAAAAGAATACTGGAAGGACTAGGAAGTATAAAAACGGTGTTTCAGCACTGACCGCTGTCCACGGCCACACCAGTGCTTACAGTGAGAGACCGCCCTGATACTTAATGCCACTACTAGTAACACACAGCCACAAGGCGGCGCCTGAAGTAACATACTGTATCCTGTGATGGAATTGAGAACCGACCTGGAAATGAGAAAAACGCAACATCAATATTTTAGTTTTACATAATAACCCGCCACCCCCCTTCGTTTTATTACGTTTTTACATTTTGCATTTTAGAATATAGAATTACATGTTTTTACAGCACCTACCTTTTTTACAGCCAGTACTGTAGGTGTTCCAAAAGCACGTCATTCTAAATCTACACCTGTAATTGTATAATAATCGTACCGTTTTCTCTGTAAATAGGCGCAGTTTTTGTTTGTTTTGGGGGGGCGCAGTTTGACTCCTTCTCAATTTAAATGTTGAAAAGCATTCATTTATGTATTAAGGGGCGAACTTGACTTGAGAGATGAGTTTTTTCCTCAGTCCAGTAAAGACTCTTAAAAAATAACGCATGTAATGTAATGGTCATCATAGATCAGACCACGATTCCACACCTGTAATGAAATTATTAAAGGTAAAATACATTCTTAATAATTTACCTGTGTTTTAAACTATGCCAGAAAACGGCTTTATGATTACAAATGAATATGTTACCTTTTTAAGGAACGGACCCTAGTAACATCAACAGGCTGCAATGAATTAAAGTGAAAGCCCATAGTTTATTTGTATCGCATGAAATGGAAGCA